GAAAAATCCATGGGAAGTTTCCTGGGGGCAGGGAATAGCCCCGGCAGAGGTCCTGCCGGGCATTTTGGAGGAGCGGCGGGTGAGAGGGAGTGAGGTGGATTACTGCGGGGGATGAGGGCAGAGAGGCAGACAGGGCCAGGTGAAGGGCGGCCGTAAGCCATGGGAAGGACTTCACTTGTTTTTTTTTTAATTTTATTTATTTATTTTTAGAGAGAGGGAAGAGAGGGAGAAAGAGACAGAGAGAAACATCAATGTGTAGTTGCTTTAGCACACTCCCAACCGAGGACCTGGCCCTCACCCCAGGCATGTGCCCTACACTGGGAATCGAACCAACGACCCTTTGGTTTGCAGGCCGGCACTCAATCCACTGAGCTACACCAGCCAGGGCAACACCTCACTTTTTACTCTATGTGAAACATGGACATACAACGGGGGTTCAAGCAAAGGAGTGACATCTGGCTTTCGTTTTTCAAGATCACTCCAATTCTTGTGTTAGAAGCAGATGTCAGTGAACAACAGTGAGAAGCAGGGAGACGAGTCGGGGAGTTGTTCTGTATCCAGGGGGGAAATACGCACCTTACCTTACGCTCTCCGAGCAGCTTCCTCCTGGCGAAGAAAGAAACAACGTCTGCTGGCAGCTTCCAGGCTCACATCCTCACAGTTTATAACCAGAGGACAAAGGCTGCTTCCCTGTCATTCTTCTTCATTCCCTTAACCATCAGTAAGTAAAGACAAGCGAAAGGTACGCTGCTGCTCTACACACCACGCACCATCCTCCCACAGGCCTAACGCACAGTTGACACTCACTGAATGAACCTGGAAATTAAATAAGGAGCACGTACACACGCAGACCTGCTACTTGACTGGTTATGTGGGATGGGTTGTAACGCATCGTTTACGTCCTCTTGCCTTTTTAACTTTCTGACCAGTGGTCATATGTGCAAAGTGACCAGATGAATTTCAGCAGGATGGCGAATGGCTGCAAGAAGCATGTGTTCATACCCAGAGAATCCAGTCTCTTGCCTCATTATCATCATCTTCTTGTTGAATTATTTTTCCCTAGACAATGAAAAGAAATATATATATGTTGAATCTTAGGCAAAATATTTTGATTCACAGGCAATAATATGACACCAATGAAAGCAGGAAGCCACTTTCAAACACGTCATCAACATTTTTATTCAACAGAGAAAGTGCGAATCCAGCAAAGCATGGAAGAGAACAGGAAGGACGTGGCGAAGTGTGGAGCATTTAAATCAGACCCTGAAACCGGCAGCCCAGGAATCCGACCTATCGACACGGATTGTTTTGCCTGCACACAGTGACCCACTCATTGATTTTCATTTTTTAAATTAGCGAATGATACGTAAAACTCAGGAATCTTCGTATGAACGCAGATCTCCAGTTTCTCACTGAAATACTGTATCAGCTGCGTAGCCATGTGGAGCACAGTTCCTCCCGGGGCCCGGTCAGCTGCATTTCCTTTAACAGGAACGGCCGTCGCTCCCAACACACGAAGTTTATAATACTCCCTAGTCCCCATTAAAAAATTGACATTGCAATATCTAATTTTCTGAGACACCATACAAATAAATCCAGAGTAGTGTTCTAGAATTAACTTGGTAAAAGGAATCTCAAAACCATGGAAATGCAAAAAATGAGTAAGAAAAAAGAAGTTTTAAGTGGGTGCATTTATATTATAGAACAAGAATGAAACAGACGTATGGGTTGATTTTGGCATATCTGTCATAAATGAGACCTTTAGCCATGCCAAGTCACAGAGATAGATTTAGAATCATTCATACCATTAGGATTATTAGTTCCGACATATGAAAAGCAGGGTTAATAAACGTCTGACTAAAGGGAAATCAGTTCTTTGGTCTTTGTCTGCTACTCTAAGTGAAAGATGCAAAATTCCTAGTGTGGACACATCATAACCAGGAACTGGAGTTGGCCGAGTGGCGAACCAAACATTGGAAAGGATCACACTAATTTGTGAAGCCCAGAACTAAAATGAAACCAAACGTTTTTAAATTGTGGACTTTCCCAAAGCGATTTCTATGCAAGCCAATGAAATCCTATTGAACTGCTATGAACTATAACTGAAGCAATGTTTTCTAAAGCAATTGAACCAGGACATTAGAATATTATCAGAACCAAACCAGTATGTTTTCTGTTTGCCTCTCTGCTGATAAGTATCTTTAAAGGCCTTCGTGTTTTTGTTCTGGTTATTGGGCATATCAAAACTACAGGAAACACTTCCATCAAGTAGCCCTTTTTAATTCTGACAGACAGCGTTAGATGTCTACCAAACACCCATTTCATCCTACTTCTTTAATAAAACCCAGATTTATCCAAGGAAACAATACATCCAGCTTCCCTTTCCTAGTCTGTCTTGGAACTAAGTGTAGCCACATATCTGGTTTCAAACTGGGAGATCTAAGCAAACTTGGGTGGAACTTCCAGGACATCTTTCTGCCGTGGGCCCATCCTACAGTCTTCCATCCTGAATTCAAGTCTATGAGTAGCGCTCCAGTACCGTAAGCGGTCATGCAGTGTGGATGGCAAACCAGAAATCAGGACAGGGAGATACTGCTGGCATCCTGAAGGTCCATCCAGCTCCAGACGTCCTTCACGCGGGAGCTAAACGTTTACTATGTTTGAGCCATTGTTTTGAGAGACTTTCTATTGTATGTAGTTAAACCTATGCTAACTTATAAAGAAAGCATGCTAACATTATAGAAAACAGTTAAGTACATCTTTTTATTCAACAAGTATTAATTTACCAAAACAGTTCATATTCTGGACCATAAAATAAGTCTCAGTAAATTTAAAAGGACTCAAGTCATACAAAGTATGTTCTGAGACCAAAAGGAAATTAAATTACAAGCCAATAAGAAAAATATATCTTAAAAATTCCAAATGTTTGTTTGCTCTGGCTGGGTAGCTCAGTCGGTTAGACTGTCGTCCCAATAAACCAATGTTATGAGTTCGATCCCTAGTCAGGGCACGTACAGGAAGAACCAACAACTGCATAAGTAATGGAAACAACAAATCAGTGTCTGTCTGTCTCTCCCACACTTTAAAATTAATACATTTTTAAAATAATAATAAAATATAATACCATTCAAAGATATGAAATACTTAGGGATAAATCTCACAAAAGATGTCCAAGTTCTGTAAAATAAAATAGTATATAAGAAATATTTGCTTGACCCAAGGCCTCAAAGATTTTCCACTGTTTTCATCTAGAAGATTTATAAGTTTAGGTTTAGTTTTCAGTCTGTGATCCATTTTGAGTTAAATTTCTCTATATGGTATGAGGTATGAGTCAACCATGCTATTATAAAATAGCATGGAAAGAAGTGAAGGAATACTTAAATAAATAGATATACTGTACTCTTGTGTCGGGATACTCAGTATTGCTAAGATATAAATTTTCCCCAATATGATCACTAAATACAATTTCAGTCAAAATACCCTTAGGCCTTTTACATTATATATAATGTATTTTTATATCACATTGTTAATTTTACATTAACAATATAAATGTAGGGTTTTTTTTTGGACAGGCTGATTCTATAATTCATTTGGCGATGCGAAAGATCTAGAATAGCCAATTCTACTTTGAAATGTGGAGGCCTCACACCACCTAACTTCAAGACTTAGTATAAAACTACAATAATAAAGATAGTGTAGTACTGAATTCAAGATAGACAAGTAGAACAATGAAATAGAATAGAAAATACAAAAGTAAGTGCTTGCAAAAAATGCAAAACAATTTGATGAGAGCAAGCACAGTCTTTTTGACAAATGGTGTATATCCATATACAAAATACAGACCTTTGACCCATACCTCACACCGTATAGAGAAATTTAACTCAAAATGGATCACAGACTGAAAACTAAACCTAAACATATAAATCTTCTAGATGAAAACAGTGGAAAATCTTTGAGGCCTTGGGTCAAGCAAAGATTTCTTATATACTACACCAAAAGCACAATTCATAAAAAAAATTCACAAGTTGGACTTCATCAAAATTAAGAAGCTTTGCCCTTTGAATGACATTGCTAAGAGAATGAAAAGACAAGCCACAAACTTGTTGGGAGTAAATATAGACAAGTCACATATTTGATAAAGGATCCACATTCAAAATTTGTAAAGAAATCTTAAAACTCAATAAGAAAACAAAAGAATCAAAAATTGTAAGTGGGTAAGAGACATGAGCATACGATTGACCAGAGAAGGTACACAGAGAACTATGGGCACACGAAGATGCTCAACACCGTTAGCCGTGAAGACACGCAATGTACAATACAGCCACCGTGAGATGCCAACCAACACTTACTAGAAGGTCCAAAATTTAAATTACTAACCAAAGCATGTGTTGGCAAGGACACTGAGTAGATGGAATTTTTCCCAGCCACCGTTGGTCGGAATGTAACATGGTGCAGCCACTTAGATAAATGGCGTGGTAGTTCCATTAAGTTAAAACAAACCCCCCCACATGGCCCAGCCATTCCACTCCTAGGTGTCACCCCCAAACATGAAGAGCTTTATCCATACAACGACTGCACACAAATGTTCATAACAGCTTTATCTGTAATAACCAAAAACTGGAAACAACCCAAATGCCCATTAACAAATGAATGAATTTAAAAAATGTGGTGTATCACTACAATGCATACTACTTAGCAATAAAAAGGTAGGCACTATTCATACACTCAGCAACACTGGTGAATCTCAAAATAACTATACGAAGTGGAAAAAACCCAGGGCTTCTCCCCCTAAAAAAAGAGTATGTAGTGTATGATTCTATTTGTATACAATTTTAGAAAATGCAACCTCATCTATGCTGACAGACAGCAAGTCACCAGTTGCCTGGGGGTGAGAGGAAATGGAAACAACTGGAGGGGAGATTAGGTTAGAAGAAGAGTTTTAGTAAGCCAGGTGTAAGGTTCCCAACAAAGAGGAAACTCCAGGGGGCCGTTAACACGCCCACTCTCTTGCCTGTGCTGGTGCTGATGTTGCAGATATGTACATCCGTCAAAACTTACCAATTGGACATTGTAAACAGGCTGCTTATTTTATGTCAATTGTACCTAACGAAAGCTGTTTCAAAAATAACGGTTAGATCCATAGGTTCCTTTCCCAACTCTGTACAACTGGGCAACTGTCCTCTCATATTCCTGCCATGAGATGGGCTTATTCTCTGGAGGGAGCCACAGAGGGTCTGTGGCTGGAGGAGAGCAGGCACAGTTGACGCCAGGAGAATTATAACAAAAAAGGAAAGTCCACATACTCAATGCTCAGACTCAAAGCCTTCCAGCCCCACTGGGCTCCCGGACCCCTAACCCTCCAGGCATAACACTGGAAAACTCCGCTGCAGTTTTATCCGACTGAGGAGGAAGACTTAAACACTCGGACGCTGGGGGGTCCCTAAAGGAAGAGCGTAGCCAGATGGAACCCCGCAGGGACGCTGCAGTCAGCAAGCCCTGCCGGCGAGGTCAGAGCTTCTAAAGGGCTTTTTAATGTCCTACTCTTAAACATGAGCAGACAACGAAAATTAGCATTTATTCTGAGAACATAAAGGGATAGAAAAAGTGTTTGAGCAGGGGGCTGGGGGCCATTATTGGAAAAATAGAGAGATTGTCACATTCTGGAAAGAGAAGTCATTAGAAAATGCCCAAAACTTAATTGCTGAAAAGTAGCAATTTAAGCCCATTGTTAGGATATACAAAGATAAATATTAAAAGAACCAGCTGAAAAGCTGAAAATGGTTGCCTCTTAAGAACAAAAAATGGGAGGAACAAGGGAACTGCTAGATCAACAAGTCTAGGAGAATTATGTAACGCTTTAAATTTTAAGTTTTAATGGTCACCTAGTTGTGGCCATTAAAAATGTCTCGAAGCCTGGCCAGGCGGCGCGGTTGGTTGGAGCATCACCTGGTGCCCCAGAACATTACGGGTTCGATCCTTGGTCAGAGAGAGCACGGGTTCCCAGAGGTGGGGGCACGGGGTGCAATCAGCTGATGTTTCTAACATCAATGTTTCTCTCTCGTAAGAATTTAAAAAAGAAAAAGTCGCCACATATGATCAAGCCCTGAGAGGGACTGGGTGGGGGTGGGAGCGGGGCATGAATTTCCCCAGCTGTAAACCACTGCTCTACAGCTAAGTATCAATTTACAGGAAATGGGATGCAGAAATGTTAAAAGATACCAGCAGGACACAATCAGCTAAATCCAGAATATGGGAAATTCTAAAGGACAGATGACCCAGATTTTCCCACAAACATATGGCATGGGAGATGAATGGGAGGAGGGACTCTTATCATTTAAAAGCCCTTTTAAAAAAAGAAAATCAACAAATGCAACGTGTGGATCTTGCTTGAAATGCTGATGTAAACAAGCTACAAAAAGACTTTTTCCACACAATTGGAGAAAATTGAGTATGGGCTATGTATTATGATACTAAGAAACATTGTTAATTATGTGAGTGGGATAATGGTACTGTGGTTACATTCTTTTTAAAAGCTTTCTGTTAGAGAAACATATTACCGTAGTAACAGATAAAATGGTGTGAAGTCTGTATGGCTGCAAAGGGGCCAGGTGGGGGAAGAGATAAAACAAGACTGTCAGAACGCGGATGGGTGTGGCAATGGAGTGATGGGTACATTGGTATTCCTTATATTACTCGCTCTACTTTTGTGTGTGTTTAAGTTTTCCCATAACAAAAACGCAAATGAAAGAAAATCCAAGAAATTGATATAGGCTGGCTTAATGGGAGAGGGTTGGGAGTCCAGTTTGCAGAGTTATATTCCCGGTTCCTTCACTAATGGCTCCGGTCATGTCGTTAAGCAGGAGGGTTACTTCTCTGACCTAAAGAATGAGGGTCTTGAGGTCCATGATCCCTTGCAGGTGAGGTTTTCGATGATTCCACAACATGACTCGAGGACCAGCAGTTTCAAAAGCCTGAATTGGGGGTGGAGATGCTGAATCAGTGGCAGAGTTCTGGCCCGAGGTTCCCGGATTCCCACCTCGGCCCCTCAGCTAGTTTAGAAGGAGCAACTGCGTTGGAACATTTCAAATTAGAAAGCGCCTGCTGAAAAAGGCTGGTGTCAAATCCGTTTTTAAGGGGCTGTGGCTACAATTTGAGTGACTTGTCAGGGAAGTGTGAATTACAACTCAGTATTACAAAGGGGCTTATTTTCAGTCTTCTCAAAAAGCAGTGAGAAAGAGGGAAGCATGCATAATAAAGCAGCCCGGTATCTGAGGCAAAAGTTTGCTTTTCCTCCTCCCTCCCCCCGAGTCTAACTACAGGTATCCCTTCCCGAAATCCTGAATGCAGCCCTCTGTACAGTTGGAGAGGAAGTGTGAACCGAAAGAGGGCAGGCGGAAGGAGGACCCTACCACTCACAGTGGGGGTGCAGGGCTCACAGTGGCGAAGGAAGGACAGAAGTCCTGCTCTCCCATCCCCCGCCCAGACGTGCTGTACAGAATGATTAACAGGGGACTGACTGCCAGATGCCACACAGGAAACCCTGTTAGAGAGAGCTCCCTAAAACACCCTCAGAAACAGCCTCCTGAAGATCCACACCGTGGCTTTGCAGGATGCAGCAAACCTGCTTTGCCACCACGTGTAAAGCTTCACCCACGGTGAAGGGAAGGTGGGAACTGACACCTGTTCCCTCCACTGAACCCCCATCCTGGGCCTCAGCTAAAATCTCAGCTGTTCCCCCTCAGCCTATGACAGGGGCCTCCCAACAGTCTTTCGCCTCTAGGGTGACCTTATGCAAATATAAACCTGCCCAAACCATTCACTCTCCCCTTGAGGATATTATCACAAGCCCCCGTCACGGTGGAGATCGAATCCACTGTAGAGGTCCTCCAACAGAGGCAGTGAACACTAGCGATTTAAAAGCGTCCTCAGGCCCTGGCTGGTGTAGCTCAGTGGATTGAGCACGGGCCTGCAAACCAGACAATCGCGGTTCCATTCCCAGTCAGGGCACATGCCTGGGTTGCAGGCCAGTTCCCTGAAGGCCACTTCCCAGCAGGGGATGCATGAAAGGCAACCGTACATTGATGTTTCTCTCCCTCTCTCCTTCCCTTCCCCTCTAAAGATAAATAAATAAAATCTTTAAAAAAAAAAACTAAAAATAAAGCGTCCTCCAGCCCTGGCTGGTATAGCTCAGTGGATTGAGCACAGGACTGTGAGCCAAACGATTGCGGTTTGATGCAGGTCACTTCCCAGAAAGGGGACTCACCAGAGGCAACCGTACATTGATATTCTCTCTCTCTCTCCTTCCCTTCCCCTCTAAAGATAGATACAATCTTTTTAAAAAGTAAAATAAAAGCATACTCACAGGAGCTGCAAGACTTGCCTGGATAAACCTATAAAGAGCCTCTTTATGTTCAATAATATATATAACACCAGGCTCAGGGGCAGAACAAATCTTACTCTTGGCTTTAGGCCTGGACCCTCATGCCTCTCCCACTCTGCACACACCTCCCCATTCTCCCCAAACTTCCTTCGTTACCAAATGATGAAGAGTGCTGTGGGAAGGGCAACCCCAGTTAGTGGGTAGTGGGTCCCCTAGCCTGAGGAGGTGCGGGGGTGGGAGGGATGCAGCAGCCCCAGGAGGTATAGAGGGCAAATTCATAAGTCGCATCCACCTGAGTCATCAATCAAGCAGCTCAGCAGCCAACCCTGAGACAGCAGCCAATAAGGACCAGAGGGTAGAGAGCGCCTAGGTGAACAGTGGTTTAAGCAATAAGGGCACTTCATTATCTCAGACAACAAGAGGTTTGAAGAAGAATGGCTTCTCCTTTCAAATAGCAAGATTTCAAGGTGCTGGAGTGGTGTCTCTACAGTTTCCCGGCCTTTCCCTCATCGTCATAAAATGGTTGCCATAGCTCCAAGCATCACATTTTGAAACATCACCCCAAGACAGAAAGGAAAGGAAGAGGCAGAACTCCTTTTCCACTATCCTCTTTGTTATTAGAGGGCAAATAAAAAACTTTCTAGACATCACCAACAGACTAGGTCGCATGGCTGCCCCTGGACAAATCACAGGCAGAGGGACGGTGTCAGTGTACTCAGCTTACATCAGTTATGACCCGACATATCAGTTACATCGGTTACATCGGTTATGATCTGACACTTTTCCTAAGCACAGCTCTCCTTCGATACCAGGACAAAATTTCAACTCTTAGTAAGAAAGAATGAGGGGAAGGTAGGGAATGGCTGCTGTTAGGGAACTAATGTGCCCACCATGCCTAAGTCCTCTTTGACTATCGCCCCAGTCTTGAGCCCCCACTATTATCATTCCAGATTGTACATGCATACATGTACTGTACATATGCACAACATACATAATAGACTTATGGTAAAGTGTGTGTGTGCAGTCTCACACATGGTAAACACACCATCCTGTACTAGGCATCTTTTTGCAATTTGCTTCCCCATTCAATGTCTCGGCGATCCACCTACGTCAGTGCTTATTGGTCGAGCCTATCTTTGCAGCTGCTGCATTGTGTTCCTTAGTGTGGACGTTGCGGTTTATTTAGATACTTCTCTACTGGTAGCCTCTTGGTTGTTTTTGGAGCAGCTTCTAAGTACTCTTGGACAAAGGCACTGGGTACGCTCCATGTGCCCCTCCAGACCCATCTTTCTCAGCTCATAGCATGAGCTGGCTGTCCTGCTCTCTGGCATCTGGTTGGGTGAAACCTATGTGAGAGGCAGGAAGTCGGAGGGTCCAAGAGAGAGGAGTTGGGGTGTTAATCCTCTGGTTCACTTCCTGCCAAGCTGCAGGGTGGCAGTAGCTGTGTTCCTCCACCCAAGGCCACAGCTCCTGTCGAGGGGCCTGGCTTACAGGCAAAGGTCCCTGGGCCATCCTGCGTCTGCGGTTGCCCCTTGCTGCCCCAGGCCCAGAGGTGGTAGCATCTCTCCCTACTGTAGGCCTACTGTGCTTCACCACCCAAAGTTGCTTCTCCTGACTTTTTAGTCGGGAAATAGCCCCTTTACTACACCCTCTTTGGACATCCCTGTCCCAGCACAGCCTGTTTCCCGCTGGGTTCTGACTGATGGAACTCGTGACACTCAATCGGAAGCACAAAAACAAGGAAGACCTGATACTTTCGATTCAAAGCTCCTTGTGCACACCCTCCCCCGATCCATCAATTTCGCCCACCATGTCCTGTGCGTGGAACCCACAGGAATCTTTGCCTGGCCACTGCTACACGAGAGCTGGAAAATACTCTCAGCTCTCACAGTGCAGGGCCAGGAGATTACAGGTGGTCCCCGAATACAGGCACATGCCCCAGGGATGTGACAAGAGCCCAGAGGCCCCCTTCACTTTTTGGAGCTGCCTCATACTTCACCTCATGCCTTCTCTTAAGCTCATCACCAAATTGTTCTCTACTTTGGACCTGAAGATGAGCATAGCAATCAGTTGACAAATCTCCTGAGCTCCCAGCATCACTCCTGAGATGAGCTGTGAAGCCACGCAGACCAAGGCTCACGTTCTGACCCTGCCACTCACCAGCTGAGAGGGCTCCTGGGAGCCGCTTCACTGCTCTGTACCTCAGTTCCCTCGTTGTAAAATTCACATGTTGGTATTGCCTACCTCCTAGGGTTGTTTTAAATATCACATAAGAGATGCCTAAGTACGTATCTAAAAGACCTCATCACCAGAGACAGCCCTCCATATACAGTAATAGATATGATTTACTTAACACTATAGAAGCTGCAGTGCAAGGTAAAAGAACCTGTCCTACCATCAAAGAGTCTGCAGTCTACTTCGGAAGATGAGAACATTCTTGTAACAATGAACAACACAGATGACGCTATATTGTTAAGTGGCAAATTATCTGGTATAAGTTCCGGAGCAACAGCCACAGGCTGGTTCTTTTACATACCTGACTTGTTATATTGCCTGACAGGTTCTGAGGATAAGCACAAAGCATCCTTGTTCCTTGTATGCCCAGTGCGCAGCACACAGTAGGCATTCAATCGCAATGTGTCTAGATAACCCAGGAATGCTTGGATAGTATGTTAGAACAAGCACTTGGTTCTTTACAAAGCACTTTGAAAGTGAAACATCATTTAATTCTCATAGCAACCCTCTGAAATAGTTACTATTATTATCATCTGCATTTTCCCAAAATAAGAAAACTGTGGCTAAAAAAAGCTTCGCCACTTTTTCATGTTACACAATCAGCTTATGGTCTGGTACCCCAGGCCTTTGCCCACAAATGTGGAGCCTCCTCCCGTAAGAGCCACAGAAGCCCATCAGCCACAGGGGTCTATCCTCTGCCAAGTGGCTTTTCCTGGCCTCCAGGATGCTGTCTCCCCTTTAGCCTTTCCCCTTGCTCTCTTGGGCTGAGACAACTGCCTTCATTTTTTTCTTTCAGCCAAAGGGAATTCGATTCACCAGCATTTTTTTTTCAGGGAGGCAGAGACTCTCCTATGTATCCAAGCCCCAACTGGACATACCAAGGTATGAATAGGCACTAAACGCTGGAGTACTTGACCCAGTCATAGCCACACACATGCCATTAAAAAGTCTGCTACCTCCAATGGGAGCTATTCGCCACACTTACCGCCCTCTCCTCTTTCCAGGGCAGAACGCGGGTTTCCGGTTAGGGGAAATCTTCCATTCTTGCCTAGGAATCTGTCTAGCAGCAGTTGTATTGCTGGTAGATCCTAGTTTATTTGTATGCTTCTGATTACATTGGAAGACAATGTTTAAAATAATTATTTTAATCACACAAAGCACTGCATGCCCTTTGAGGGCATAGTGCTGATATATGTAAAGTAAAAAATAAAAACTATCAAGAAAGTGAGAAAACAAGCCACAGTCTGGGAGAAAATACATGCAAAAGACATTTAATGAAGGACTATTTCCCAAAATATACAAAGAATCCTTATAGCTTAATAAGAAGAAAATAAACTGATGTAAAATGAGCAAAAG